ACACCCAAAGTTTCGGCCGCATTGAGATCGATTTGTAGGGCACGGGCTCGAGACAATAGGGGAGTGTAATGTGCTTTGAGTTTGGTTAATTTCAATTAGATTGCGAAAAAACATGATTTTTTTTTATTGTGAAAACCACTTGCAAAAGGAGCAATTGGGGGGATTTGGCAACCAAAATCATTCATGAACTCGAGCTGATAATTAAAGTGAAACCACAATAAATGGAGGGCATCATTATAGGAACCACGGACCTGAAGAGGTCCCTAAAAAGCTTCATCTCGATCATCGTCCAGATTTCGGGATCACTAGAATGTAAAATTTCATAAGGGTATTCTCTCTCTAGACAAGACAAAGACAAAGATACATAGGAAATTGGAGGGAATAGAGCACCGGCAAATTAAAATAAGGAGCGCATTCATGGAGTTCGCCCGCCTGCCGTCCCTGTATATCAAGCGGGCAAACCGCGGAGGCCCCTGTTAGAGCTACAGTTTCCTTCCTTTGGTGAGGCTCCCTCTTAATCGAACACCAAAAATTCATCGAGGGTCCCTATTTAGAAAGAGGTTAGTGTGAAATCACTAGCAAAAGGGAGCAAATTGGCGACTCGCCAACCGAACCATCCATGAACTCAAAGCTGATAATTACTGGGAAACCACAATAAATGGAGAGCATCATTATGGGAACCCACCAACACCAACACCAACACCAACACCTTTTGCTTTTCCCATAACATGGCATTTCATCTTTTCAGTGAAAACCCCAAAAAAAAAAATTAAAAAAAAACCTGAGTAAACAGAGAAAACCTTTTATGGAAAGTCCGAAACTAAAAAATCAGGAAATCCAAACACCCCCTCAAAGGAAAATAATTACGAGATCCATAAAAGAAGTGCCCTAAAAAAGCAACAAAAAGGGACTTTTGGATAGGGAGCCGCCTCCCTCCATTGTACCTTATTTTTATAGGCAAGAATGATGTGGATGGTTCTTGCAATTTTCTCTTTGGTATTTAATGTGATTTTTTATAACTCTCTCTCTCTCTTTTTTTTTTAATTTAGTCTCTATTTTTAACCTTCAACCTTCCAAAAATAAATCCAATTAGTGTGATCCTTCCATCAAAAGTTATGATGCCGTCAGTGATGCGGCCATAATTAATGTTCCCTTGATGTTAGATTTCCCATTTGTGACTTCAAGTAATATATATTTTTTGTTCTCGTTATTTTAGCCCACAAAAGGAAAACAAAAAGGAAAGAAAAGGACTCACAAAACTTGAGAAATAACGTGACTGTCCACTTCATTATTTTGACCCAGTAAAAACTGATGCGACGATCCATGAAAAAAAAATGCGCGTGGAATGACGATATACATGATGGAATGGCCGCATTAAGTATTAAAATAATTACGAAATCATAAGGCTGTGTTCGTTTCCGGAAAAATATTTTTCCGGAAAATATTTTTCGCGTTTTCCGGTGTTCGGGGGCGGAAAATGTTTTCCGTGGGAAAACATTTTCCTTCCCCACCCCCAAATCCTTCATTGTTTTGAGGAAAATGACTTCCGCTTCTCAGAAGCGGAAGTCATTTTTCCGGAAGTCTGAAGACTTCTTCCTATTTTTTATTTTTTTTTTGCTTCTGCTTCTTCTACCTCAGCCAGTCGGCGGCCGGCGACCGGCGAGCTCGGCCTCGCCAGAGCCTCGCCGATGACCTCGGGCGAGGTTCGCCGGCCGGGCGAGCTGGGGCCTCGCCAGCCTGTGGCAACGCTAGAGCTCGCCTCTGGCCGGTCGCCGGACGTCGGCCGTGGCCGTGGCCGGCGACCTGCCGGAGAAGAAGAAGGAAAAAGAACGCAGCCGATGGCGATCGTTGCCGAACGCTGAAAAATATTTTCCGAAACCTTTTCATATTTCAGCCGAACACCGGAAATTTGTCTTCCGGAAAAACATTTTCTAGGAAAATGATTTCCGGGAAAACATTTTCCAAAAATATAATATTTTCCGCCAAACGAACGGAGCCTAAGTATCAAAAAAAGGTTCAGAGACCATCTCGTCGTTATACATTTTCTCTTGATAGGAACCTAAAAAAAATTGGAGTAATATAAAGAATGATTTACACTAAGTAACCTCTTGAAAAACCCTCTTTAGCAATCAATGATGAATAATACGAGCTAGTATTACATGCATGCAAACTCTCAAGGTAGAAATTGCTTGTGATTGTGGTCTGTGTATTTAGCTCTGTGCGAAAGAGTTCTGAAGGTACAATATCGATGAATTCAAAAAAGGTGGCTATTCTAACTAAATAGTAAATATCCTTCCTCATCCATTTCTTGATTAAAACAAAGTAATTTTTCAAGGCATTTACTAAGTCGAGTGTTGTGAAAAGAGACCTTAAAGATGTAAGGTATCTATCAGGTGCATTTTGATTTTTCAAAATACTTGATTATGTCAATCATAAAAAAATGGTTGAAACGTTAAAAATTATTAAATTCTCTTATTTGATTAGCCAACAGATGATGCCATGCCTTAAGGACATTTTTAGTACCTAAACATAAAATTCTTTATACAACGATTGCAAATGTCAAATAAACCAATATCTTGAAAAACTAGAATTATTTTCTTTTCTGAAGTGGATACATTAACGAGTCTCTCTTCTAAACAATACTTAAGTTGGAGCAATTCAGTTTCCAAATTAGCGATAACACATATGATGAGACACGGGTAGTGCATAGGATGCTGCAAATTTTCTTTAATTAACTGGTGTCTTTGAAGCACGAAAATTTCTTTCTTAAACCCGAGCTCGCTGGACTTTTCCCATCTCAACCATTATATGTCGAGTCTCACGCGGCCTCACTAGTAAATGATCAACTATCTAATGAATCTCGAACACCGTATCTAGGGGTGAGCGGTTCCAGGTTCCTCACAGGTTCTACCTGAAACCTGGAACTTACCCTCGGGTACAGGTTCCTCATTTTTTGGAACCTGGAACCTACCCGTTAGAACGTGGAACGTGGAACCTACCCTGTTATAGGTTCCAGGGTCGGTTCCAGGTTCCAACAGGTTCTTTTTTTTTTTTTGGTTTTATTTTTAGTTAATCAAAACGAAAATGAACATTCATAAAAAAGAATACAAAAGACTAGTTATTGAAAAGTCACATTTTTCTTAAAAGAAAGGGGATAGAACGATAAATAGCAATTGTTGGGATGCAATACATATGACTTTAAATTCCAAGGTAAGGTGCCATATTTTTCTCAACAAAAAGTACAAAACATACTCCTTTCCAAGCTCCTCCAAAGTAGAAAAGTTTTTGTTTTTGGTCATCAAAGTAAGTTGCTCCTCCAAGCTCCTCTACCACCTGCAATATTGAAAGGAAACAGTAAAGATGAAGCTAGAAAAGTTAATTTACATGGAATAGGCACATGACCAGGGCTGGTGATCCTCCAATTATGCTTATAAGGATTTCAAGCTTAAAGGATGAGCCAATTGCTCCAAGAACCTCCAACTCCGTATGCCGAAGTAATGATGTAAAACTAAACTTGTCTCCATGTCAGTAGAATAGTAAACTCTCAACTCCTTTGAGAAAACATTTTGTCTTTCAACGGCCAAAAGGAGTAAGATAATCTTTTTGTCTAAGTAAAGTTAATTGAAGGAAGAATAAGAAAAGTATAACCCTAGTACACTGGAAGTACACAAAAGAACATACCAGGAAGACCTACACAAAAATAACCAAAAGAGAGAGAAACTTGGAAAAAAGCCCGTATCGGAAAGAGATCCAAACTTCATCTATTCCGTAATAATATTCATCAAATAGAAAGAAGACTTCTCGAGTCTATCATATATTTTTCTACTTTTTTCAAAAAGGGGAGAAAATAGTCAGACCAAAAGAAAAAGGTTGTCCTTGGATTGCCTATTTGGGAGTTAACACATACATTTGTTTTAACTATCAAGAAAAATTTCTTAAGCAAATTCTAAAATGTCCAAGTTGGGAATGTTATGACCTGAATGCCAAATCTACAGGTGAAAGATAGCATAGTCAACAGTTTGATTATTGGTTGACCAATGGGAGAAAACATATTTTAAGGATTCGGTTCTTGGTCCCGGTTCCCGGTTCCGATTCCGGTTCCCGATTCCGGTTCCAAAAAATGAGGAATCGGGAACCGGATCCTCTGTCCATGGAACCTGGAACCGAACCGGATCCACCGGGTCCGGTTCTCCAGTTCCCGGTTCTACCCTGGAACCACACTCACCCCTAACCGTATCGGGGTGAGACGAACGATTTATCTTTGGAGCAACTTTTAACAAAATCCAATTAAAATTTCACAATAAGTGTTAGCAAAAGGAAAACGACACAAACAGTTCCTAAACTTTGGCCCAGCGTGCAATGTGGTCTCTAAACCTTAAACCAATATGCAATGTGGTCCCCGAACTTTTAATTTGTTCAATGTCATCCTAGAACTATATGAAAATGTTCACCGTAGTCATTTCATTAATTCAGGTTTAAAAATTACATTGAACATTTTCATGTAATTCAAGGACCATATTAAATAAGTACAAAAAGTCCATGGACTACATTGAATAAATTAAAAGTTCATGGATCATATTAAACATTAGACTAAAGTTTAAAAAATATATTAGATAAATTAAAAGTTCAGAAATCACATTGCACGTTAATTCAAAGTTCAGAAATTGTTCGTGTTATTATCTTTTAGCAAAAATACGTTAATAAAATGGAAAAAGAAGAAGAAAAAGAAAAAGAGAAAGGGCAGATGAAAATGCGTTCCCTCCATCTTATCTGGTCGAGCTGTAGCTGTAATGCCTGCCCCTGGTGGGGTGCCTCGGAGCTCGCGCCCTATCACGAGCCTTTCCCGTAAACATTTCCCAAATTATTATTTTTTTTTGCTACAAAATTATTACTATTATTATTATCCTCTCCTTTTTTCTTTTCCAAATAAGTTTTATCCTCATTTTCTTATTTATTTTTTTCTCGGGTCTCATGATGACGATGATGATGAAGTACTCAAAGCGGTAGTGAAAAACGAAGCTAAGAAACTGACCCCTTCAATCCCCGAATGCCCAGAGATTCCTCCTCCTCCTCCTCCTCCTCCGCCGCTTCCCCGAGCTCCCAAACCTGTTGATCCGCCATACCCAGATCCGAAAACCCGGACGGAGAACGGCAAAGATGAAGCGGGAGCACCACCATCTATACCCCCAGACGGACCCCTCCACCTCCACCTCCTCAGCCGCCGCCGCCGCCGCCGCCGCCGGGAAGTCCAAGATGTGGGACGAGGGCGGCGGCGGCGGCGACGACGAGCTCCTGGCCATGCTGGGCTACAAGGTGCGGTCCTCCGACATGGCCGATGTGGCCCAGAAGCTGGAGCAGCTGGAGGAGGTCATGTTCAGCGCCCAGGAGGACGGCCTCTCCTACCTCGCCTCCGAGACCGTCCACTACAACCCCTCCGACCTCTCCTCCTGGCTCGAGAGCATGCTCTCCGAGCTCAATCCCCTGCCCCCCGGCAGCTTCGGCGGCCCCCTCTCCGTCCCCGCCGCCGCCGCGGCGCCGCCGTCGCGGCCGCAGCCCGTGGGCGACCCGTTCCTCGCCGGCGCGGAGTCCTCCACCGTCACCACCGTCGACCTCGCGGCCGCGGCGGACCAACGGCTGCAGAGCAGCGGGAGGAGCTCACGGAGGAACGACCCGGTCCAGGAGATGGGCTCCTCGGTGGTCGTGTTCGATGAGGAGTCGTCTTCCGATTACGATCTCAAGGCTATTCCCGGTAAGGCCGTGTTCGGCCGAGCCCCAACCCAAACCCGAACCCGAACCCGCCTCGCGTCTTCGTCCTCTTCTTCTGCTTCCTCGAGCGCCATCACGGCCAAGCGCTTGAAATCCTCTCCCGGCGATGCGGCCGCCGGAGTCGCCACGGATTCGACTCGGCCGGTCGTCCTGGTCGACTCGCAGGAGAATGGGGTCCGCCTCGTGCACGCGCTCATGGCCTGCGCCGAGGCCGTCCAACAGAGCAACCTCGGCATCGCCGAGGCGCTGGTGAAGCAAATCGGGTTCTTGGCGATCTCGCAGGCCGGGGTGATGAGGAAGGTCGCCACCTTCTTCGCGGAGGCGCTGGCGCGGCGGATCTACCAGGTCTACCCGCAGAACGCCCCCTTGGACCACTCCCTCACCGACTCCCTCCAGATGCACTTCTACGAGACCTGCCCGTACCTCAAATTCGCCCACTTCACCGCGAACCAGGCCATCCTGGAGGCCTTCGAGGGCAAGAGCCGTGTCCACGTGATCGACTTCAGCATGAACCAGGGCCTCCAGTGGCCGGCCCTGATGCAGGCCCTCGCCCTCCGCCCCGGCGGACCGCCCTCCTTCCGCCTCACGGGGATCGGCCCCCCCGCCCCGGACAACTCCGACCGCCTCCAGGAGGTGGGCTGGAAGCTTGCCCAGCTGGCCGAGACCATCCACGTCGAGTTCGAGTACCGCGGGTTCGTCGCCAACAGCCTCGCCGACCTAGACGCGGCGATCCTGGAGCTGAGGCCGAGCGACGCCGAGGCGGTGGCGGTCAACTCGGTGTTCGAGCTGCACAAGCTGCTGGCCCGGCCGGGGGCGATGGAGAAGGTGCTGGGCGTGGTGCGGCAGGTGCGGCCGGAGATCGTGACGGTGGTGGAGCAGGAGGCCAACCACAACGGGCCGGTCTTCGTGGACCGGTTCAACGAGTCGCTGCACTACTACTCCACCCTGTTCGACTCCCTGGAGGGCTGCGCCAGCACGCAGGACAAGGCCATGTCGGAGGTCTACCTGGGGAAGCAGATCTGCAACGTGGTGGCGTGCGAGGGTCCGGACCGGGTCGAGCGCCACGAGACCCTGGCCCAGTGGCGGGCCCGCCTCGACTCGGCCGGGTTCGCCCCGGTCCACCTCGGGTCCAACGCGTTCAAGCAGGCGAGCATGCTGCTGGCCCTGTTCGCCGGCGGGGACGGGTACCGGGTGGAGGAGAACGGCGGGTGCCTCACGCTCGGGTGGCACACGCGGCCGCTCATCGCCACCTCGGCGTGGCGGGTCGGCTGACCGGTGGCGCGTGGGCGACGGCGACGGCGACGACGCAGGGGTCCCCCCCACCACCACCACCACCGCCACCGAGGCCTAGTGGTGGGCGTGTCAACGTGCGACTCTGAGCTGGTTTCAGACACTGACAGAGACCCGCCACTCACCGCTTGTCTCCGGCCCCTCCACCCCAACCCGACACCCCCCCGAAAAAGAAAGTTGAAAAAAAAAAGTAGAAATATTCTAGTTTTTCTTTTTAGCTCGAATTAGTAGGTTTTTTTTTAATATTAATTTTTTTTCCTTTTTTTTTTTGGTACCATTTTGTGTAATTTCGAGGGGATATATTCAAGAGGGTGAATGTGTAATTTAAATGGGTGTGTAGCTGTGGTGTAATAAGGGAATAGAAGAAGCTATTTCGCTTTTCATTCGACTGCTTGGCTATGAAACGATGTGTAAAAAAACAGATAGGGTCCTCGATCCTTGCTTTCATCTGATGCGATGCGGGGACGCAGCAAGTTCCGGATCTTTGCTTCATCGGAATTAGACCGGGTCAAATTGGCGGTTTGAATGGAAGACGATTCGACTCGAATCGACCTGTTTAATGTGTTCTGATCGATTTTCACGCGATACTAATCTAGTGACTCAAAATCTAGAAACAATCGGAGTGAGCATGCGAGAGGGAGAGAGTGAGGGCCAGAGAGAATGAAGAGGTGAATTGGGTTTAAACAAAGTTCTTAAATAAGTTGACAACTAACACACAATTGTTTGTATTTTACCATTTTAATTCATTTATAATCCATTCACTAAATAGAACTGATTCATATAGCGACTCAGCTCATCGATTATGAGTTAAAAAATTGGACCCAAGACCTGTTTCGACTGATCTAATCGGAATCAAATGCTCACTCAGTTTGCTAACGCGAGCTTCCCCACGTTGCCCTTTTTTTCCCACGTCGCTTTCCAGGTGCTGAGTCGGTCCCCAAGGAAATGAATCGGGACATGGTTCTTCTGGCCGACCGCTTTATGATGGGTTTTGGCTGTAGGAATTGGGGAAAGCCAAAAAGCTTGGGCGAGAGAGAGAGGGGAATGCATAGGGGGAAGACTTTACGAGCTTTTCCCTCTCCTTGGGATTAATGTGAACTTTAGGATCTTGACTTTTTTAACTAATTGAGAGTGTGTATCAACTCCAAAGTAAAAAGTCGGCCCCCCACCACTAAGTACAGCTACCTCCTACATTTAACTTTCCTTTTCCTTTTGGTGTTTGGGAAAAGGTTTTCCCGACTCGCACAATTAGAAAGTTCTCGCCTTCTTTTTCCCTATTCGCCGCTTTCCCTCCTTCGAAGGCGGGGCGAAATGCTCTTCCGAAACTTCGGCCCCGCAGCACGCCGAGCCGGATCGAGGCCGTCGAACTGGTCGGTTCGCGAAGGAATCGTGTTTTCTCGAGAGGAGGGAGAGGGTATTTCGGTTCGAGTGATCTGTACGATCCGATGGAAGTCCGTGACGGAAATTTCGAGTGCAAAGGGGTAAAAGGGGAAGGGTTTTTCGCACTTGGGGGCGTGCCACGTCACCCGAGACGCGAGAGGTCAATACAAGCATGCTCAAAGAGCTAGACAAAACTCGATTAAATATGATGGGATTAGGTTTCGCTGAGACTTGGTTGGATTAATCATAAATTAAGAGGATAATCTATAATTAAGTAGCTGCGAGTAGTGCGGCGTCGTTGCCTCTGTTGTGTGACTAAAGCATATTTAAATTAACGTTATACGCAAGTCTTAAGAGTTGAGATTCCACGAGCCCCGAAACTGCCAAAAAGGGCAAACCAAAGAGTACTCAAAATGACCCAAGTTGACAAGACAACACGCGTTCGAAAGCAAAACCCCCAAATTGAAATTCGAAATTCAAAGAAACGGCATCCGCATTTCTTTTTTCTTTTTTTCCATCCTCACGAAATTACCAAAAAAAATTCTTAAATTTATCGTGCTCATGTCAATTCCGTTACGAATCTTTCGATAATTTGTCAATCGAGTCTTGAATCTTTCGATTGTACCAATTTATTCCTAAATCTTTTAATAATTTACCGATTTTGTCATTCCGACCAATTTTGGCGGAATAACGCTGGCGTGGTGTCTAGCCCGCGTCGGCCGTCTTATACGGCACGGGCGAGGGTGATTAAATCTAGAAAAAAAAAGAGGAAAGAAAAAAGAAAAGTGAAGACGAAAATAAAAGAAAATTCAGAAAATAAAAAAGTGTCGATGTCGTTGCTTGCCGTGTCATGTAGGATGCCTAACGCTGACTAAACTGTTATGTCAACGTTTTCCGGCCAAAATTAGTAAATCGTCAAAAGTTTATGACTAAATCAACATAATTGGTAGGTTTGGCAATGAATTGACAAATTATCAAAATGTTTATGATTAAATTGGCAAAATCGAAAGATTTATGACTAAATTGGCACAAGTACAATAGGTTTAAGACTTTATTGATAATTTTCCCATGACAATTTCGTAGTTTTCATCCGTGCCCTAATCGAATTTGAGAGATCGGATTAACTAAACGCTTCATCATATAATCATGCCTGTTAATCTCATTGATTATCAAATGTCAGGTTTTAGGAGGGCAACACTATGTCTTAGAGATGGATGTGGATAGTATTACCATCAAGCAATTTTCTACAATTATAGGTTACTTTATGAAAATGTAGAGTTTTGAATATCGTCACCAAATGTCTTGAGAAACTTATTATCAGAGAAGTAGGATCCTTAGTTAACAAATTTAAGTACTTAATCGAATCCCGACGCTCGCTCTAATCTTCATTCAACCCTTTAATCTAAACTGGTTCCCCCGACTAAAATCTATCTTTCGTTAGCATTCTGTTCAATATCCCGTTAAAATGCATACGTTAAAGACATATTTGAAAATAGTTTCGGCATAAGAAAAAGACAAATCTCTCCTTGAGATCCATGCATATAAATATATATGATTTTTGAAAAAAAAGAAGCGAAAATAAAATAAAGACGGACCACATTTCCAGAAAGGCGGATTTACTTCAGAATTTGCCAATGTGGGAGGGGGCAATTTGGCTTTCGTTAGGACACACATGGCATATGGGGGTAGGGAGGAAGGCCGGGTTGACCGGAGTCAACCGCTGGACCAAGACCATATATAAAACCAAAATATTCCCCTAATTATTTAATTAAAAATACCTGCGGATCGTACCAAAATTGCCAGCTCGCACTTGTCGGGTAATTCTGACACTGCCAGAACAGTCCAGATAATTTTAGGTGAAATTATCAAAATGTTTTTAGGTGTAACCCCCCAGTTATCAATTTCTGCGCATGCCTTTGTTTTTGTTTTTTCTAATATATTTTTTAATTACATATTTGGCATTTAGTTTTTGAAAGTAAAGATAAAAAGGGATTTTAGCTTCATCCGTCTTTGTTTAAAATAAGGGTTAATATAACGAAAAATTTCTAAATCAGTATATATATAATAAATTTATCTCAAATTAATTTTTTGATCATAAAAAACTTTAATTTGGTACACTTATAATAAATTTACCCAAAATTAATATTTTGACCACCAAAAAACCTCAAACCGATATAGTTATAACAAATTTACCTTCCGTTAGTTTTCGTTAAATTGGATTAATACTACAAAAAATCACAAACTGGTATACCTGTGACAAACAGAGGGTAGAATCTTATACCGATACGCTCGTTAATTGCCACGTGTCATTCAACTCAGCAATTTTATGGTAAAATTTAACGAAAACTAACGGTGGGTAAATTTGTCACAAGTGTACCAGTTTGAGGTTTTTGATAGTCAAAAAATTAATTTAAGGTAAATTTGTCACGGGTATACCAATTTGGATTTTTCATGGTATTAACCTTTAAACAGTTTTCACATTGTTTTCTATTTATTTGATGATCCAAAAGTGCAATAGATTCGAAATAGAGTTTTCGAGAAAGTAAGGAATAATTTACAAATAATGAAAAAAATATCTTGAATTTAATTTCATGAATTTATCATGTCGTTATTTTTCTTATATTCTCGGTATACGATTATCTAAAAAACAATTTAGGATTTATCTTTTCTCTATATTTATGTTTAATCTATTCTCTCTTCTCATCGATCTTTGGACTCCTTGTCCTCTTCATTAGTTTTTTCTTGGTATCTTTCGATGGAATATCCGGAGAAAGGTGTGGTTTAGAATGGTTTATTTAATTACATATTTGGCATTTAGTTTTTGAAAGTAAAGATAAAAAGGAATTTTAGCTTCATCCGCCTTTGTTTAAAATAAGGGTTACTACAACGAAAAATTCCTAAATCAGTACATCTATAATAAATTTATCTCAAATTAATTTTTTGACCATAAAAAACTTTAATTCAGTACACTTGTACTAAATTTACTCCAAATTAATATTTTGATCACCAAAAACCTCAAACCGGTACAGTTGTGACAATTTTATCTTCCGTTAGTTTTCGTTAAATTCAATTAATGCCACGAAAAATCACAAACTGGTATATCTGTGGCAAGTAGAGGGTAAAACCCCAAACCGGTACATTCGTTAATTGCCACGTGTCATTCAACTTAGCAATTTTACAGTAAAATTTAACTGAAACTAACGGTGGGTAAATTTATCACAAGTGTATCAGTTTGGGGTTTTTGATAATCAAACAATTAATTTAGGATAAATTTGTCACGGGTACATCAATTTGGATTTTTCATGGTATTAACCTTTAAACAATTTTCGCATTGTTTCTATTTATTTGATGATCCAAAAGTGCAATAGATTCGAAATAAAGTTTTCGAGAAAATAAGGAATAATTTACAAATAATGAAAAAAATATCTTGAATTTAATTTCATGAATTTATCATGTCGTTATTTTTCTTATATTCTCAGTATACGATTATCTAAAAAAAAATTTAGGATTTATCTTTTCTCTAAATTTATGTTTAATCTATTCTCTCTTCTCATCGATCTTTGGACTCCTTGTCCTCTTCATAAGTTTTTTCTTAGAATCTTTCGATGGAAGATCCGGAGAAAGGTGTGGTTTAGAATGGTTTATTTAATTATCCGGGGCTCCCCAGCACACGAATTTTTTCATTACTATAAATTCATAAAGCTTCCATCTTTAAACATGGCTTTGTTAAATTAAAGTATCATCTTATGACCATAAATCTTATCAATTATTTAAAATTCATTTGAACGTAATTGAAATGAAAAAGGTTTTGCACCGCGACAAATGAAAGCTCACGAACTCGGTACTTAAATATGTATTTGCAAAATTCTTAATGTCAAATTAAATGAATTTTTTACAAAACACGGTAGCTACAGAAACTATCAACACTCGACGTGTTTTCTCATCCTACTTCGCACCGTTTATACTATCTCAACACAATTAGGAAAATCTAGAAAACATTTTCTTCGGAATCATCATGTATATGAAAGGTGAGGAGTATAGCCACTAGCCAGTCATTTTTGGCAATTGCTTCTTCGACCCAAATTAATAAAAAAAAATTCGAGGATATCAATCGATATAGATATGGTCTTTTCGTCGGAAAATAAATTACTTGTTTTGATAGGTGCAAATTCTTGAAGAGGGTTGACGATTGAAAATGACTCCTCGACCCACCACCATGCCAGTATCGTTCTAGTCAAATAATTTATACTTGGAAAAGTATTATAATGTCATTCGACTATGCTCTTAGCTTCATTTTAAATATCTAGTAGCTAAAAGGACTTCCGTGAGTTCCACTCAATTTCCCCTTCTCCACTTGTTATCATCTAGCCCAAAAAAAATAAAAAAAATCGTCCGTCATGTGTCATCCATAGTTGATTTTCATTTCACGTTAAATCAATCGACCTTAGTGCGGATACGGATCCACACATCAGGTCTAGTAGGGGGCAGGGCGTGGAGTGATGCATCCATCTTATGGTATTGATTGATTTTCATCTCCTTTTATCCGTAAGTAATTTTTAACGTATGAATCCGTAATTTTTCCATCGCTAACTGTTTTAAAAGTTTAAACTGTCAGAATAACACGCGATCAAATATCTAAATATTCTAACAAGTCGGACTCCGGACGTCACCTTTACTCTCTCCAATAATGATCATCCATTAGGATGGACGTTCCGATTTTTTTTCTCTTTTTTGTTTTGGGGACCATTGGTTTGCAGAGTCAATTCAACATCATCTAAGCTAAGAAGAATTGTCGAATTTGTGGGGTTTATCTCCATATTCTTTGTGATCGTTTTCTGGTCCACCACATCCATGTAGTGGCTCATCTCCTTGTTGGACCATCCGTCGCGCCATCGGTCTATGATGATAAACAATGTGTAACGTATAAACCGCGACGTTGTCCATAATACAATGAGTAATTTTCACCAACAGCTCCACAACTTTAACGAAATTCAACGGGATATCCCCTTAACTTTTCGAAAATTTTATTTATGCCCCCGGCCAGTCAACCGGCGAGGGCACGGATGGCTCCGACCCCTTTTTTTGCATCGGGAGCTACGCAAATGGAGCCCTTAAGGATCCCGGGTTCGAGGGTCGATGAGCGAGTGGCCCGAAATCTTTAATTACTGGGTGCCGTCTTTCGACGAATTCCATTTCAGGGCTTAACACGCTGCTAAACCCCGGACCAGATTCGCTAGGGAGACCTCCCTTCAGAGCACTCGTCACGAAACACAAAAAGGGTTCTATCCTCTCGAAGACGGGGCCGGGTCTCCGTCTCCGACGAGAGGCATAGAAGAAGAGGCGCCGAAAAACCGAGGACCGCTTGTCGAATTTCGGCTAAAATAGGGGGAACATCCGTGAATATCTTTCCACGGGATGATTTGCTACACGAGCACATTGGAGGCGCTGAAATTTCCACGTTCCACAAGTCGATCCTCGATTCGTCACCGACGGGGCCCAATGCGGTTCGGTTTTGTCAAACCACCCGTGGAATTGGTTGCCGTCAATCAGGATCGACCGCTCGTGCTGCAATAGCGGTGCATGTTTTTCAGCGCGAGACGCCGTCTTTTTAAACGATTCCCTTTTGACCATCTCCATCGTTCCAGCTTTCTTTCCCTCCTCCTCCTGTTGCTCTTCGCTCGTTTTTCTCTGGTCGAGATTAGTCCACAAAATCCACACGAATGGTCAAAGTGTTGTCAAAGACATTCCCTTATCCTCAGTTCCAACAGAGCATATTCCATCCAAGCATTTTACAGCTAAGGCCGAGCGCGACGTCGCACGAGAAGTTTCCATTGGATGGAAGACTAAAAGACCCTCGATCCGTGACGACCAGAAAAGGGCCCGTCTTCAGTAGATAAACGAAATATATGTCCGCCATTTAAACTCGAGAATGAGCAAAATGCAAATGGGAACTCGGACACGAGGTTCCGATACGAGATTACTTGCATTTTGTGAATCGAAAAATCAAACGTCTGTGCACCTCGTCACCTCGTCTCTCTGTACATGCGTACACTTGTATGGCTCTTCGAACACCTGCGATAGAGTTTCTCTTCTTCTTTTGTGGGTCAGCACTTGAATCTGGTGTTTTATAAATTTAGCATCACTGTGATCGTTAGTGCTTCTGATGTCTTCTTCTTTTCTTTGGTTTTTTCTCCTTCGCTTTTTACCACAAAGCACGCCACAACACGAGATAGCCAAGTCCCGCACGAAAGGAGTTGAGATCGGTTCCTTTTCAAACGAGTGATATCTTCTGTTAAATAATCTTTGCCATTGATGCTTAATCATCACGTAAAGTAAGGTTTTGGATTTTTCATATTGGCTAATCGCGTTTAGAGCAAGTTAATAATTAAGTGAGGTCAGACACTAAATGTACTCAACCTTTTTCTTTTTATTGTAACCGGAAATATATTGTGCACAGATTCGAAAAGGATTGCACATTAAGGTTCTGTTTGTTTCGCGAAAAACATTTTTCTCATTTTTTAGCGTTTTTCGATGTTTGATTCGCTTAAGAAAATGAGTCAATGTAAAACCCATGTTTAAATTCAAGAAAATGATTTCCTTCTTTGAAAAACTGGAAAACATTTTCCAAAATATGAGTAGATATTAGCGTTTTGATCTGAAATTCTATACTTGGGTGCGAAAACCCCAACATTGGTTCTCGGGTCCCCGGCATTCAGGACCAGGTCTTCGGCGCCTGGGCCAGGGTCCATCAAGGCCAAGCTTGGGACCCCGGTGCCCCGGCCCAAGCCCAGGTCCATCGAGGCTAGGCCCGAAGCCTTGGTGCTTGTGCTTGATGTCTCAACACCCAATCTCCGTGTCCATAAATGCCGTGCTTGGGTCCTCGGCACACAAGCCCGGGCTCACAAAGGCAGAGTGTGGGTCCTCGGCGCTCAGAGTCGGGTCTTTAGTTAATGAAACATTCATTCTTATAAAAATATTTTAAAAAATGAATTTCTAATTATTTTTTTTCTCTTTTTCTCTTTTTCATTTTTTTTTCCTTTCCTTTCTTCTTCGGCTAGCTACGGCGGTAGCCAGCGATTGGCCACAGGCAAGGGACGAATGATGACGAATTTGAATGATTTTTAGCAGACAATATGTATATGAATTTCAAAGCTGAGGACATGTCCCCATAAAAAATAAGAGATCTGTTAAGTAATCGCCCAAAGCTATCGAGTTTTATCTATTAGTAATAAATAAGCTAATCTTTACTCTTTACATATCGAGATGGAATAAGGGTTTTCCGGTCGTATGAAAAGCAGAAATCAAATTTGACCGTTGGCTTTATATATAACATAATGTATAGCATAAAGGTTTTATTTATGAATGTACGTGAACATTACGGGCCGCAGAGACGAATGATAAAGTAATGTTATGTGACTAACTCCATCGGAATTTGCGGGGCTGATTACACGAAGAAATGTTAAACTTAAGAAAGTGGAGATATCTCTTCCTTTTGGGCCCGTATAACTCAAGTGATGCTGGACTCATGTCCCTGCAGCAAATTCGAGCCTTTTCTCTTGCCCTCCTATGTAAGCCCTCATCGGTTTCTGAAATGGCAAGGCCCGTTTACATGCTGAGATCGGTCTGCGGCAATGTTTTCACCGATCCCCGCATGATGCAAAGCGACTTAAGCGTGCGAATCAAATCGGGCGAAGTCGCAGGAAATTCGTGATGACAAAGAGAAGAACACGTTCGATCGGTTCGGGAAACTTCATGTTGACCCGAAGATCGCGGGGGGGTTCGGGACTGTGGGCCGTGAAGCGTCATGAATGCTGCTTGGTTTGAGGAAGAGAGCGGGGGTACCATCGTAGCTGATCCAGATGGTTAGAGGAAGAACACCGTCCTTTGTGGTTCATGAAAGAGACTACTTACTGACGAGAGGATCGCTATAAACGCAGGCTTACGGGTCATCCGCTTCGTGGCCTATGCCCTCACACGGACAAGGCGGTTTTAAATGTGCTTAGAGTTAGAGATTGCACATACGATACGACCATATGGTCCGAAATGATCGCGAGTGCCTTGAAGCATATACTTTCTTTAACTGCAGTATTAGAAGGCGGCTGTTTCTAAATCTCCACAACCATTACTCTCAAGGAGATTCGCTTTGGTCGGTAGCATCCGGTGTAGCTTGCTGGTCTTTGCGGCAACGTACAAATAAGAGTACTTTTCAATCTAAAGTCACAGCTGCGAGCTTTTCGATAATTACAGGCGAGGTTAGCTGAGATGCGGATATCTGGTAATCCATGGAAAAACAGATGCTTTTGTTGGATGGACTCCGCCAGTGGAGTAGGTGAAGCTTGACACGGGCGGGGCCTCTAGAGGCAACCCGGGCTTAGCGGCTGCTGGCGGACTCATTCGTGACGAGGTTGGCGAGCGGCTAGGTGCGTTCATGAACGCTGAGGGGTTCTGCTCTGCACTGAAGGCAGAACTAAGGGGAATTCGTTTGAGCCTCAAATTGGCTTTATTTCATTAGGCTTCGACAACATACAGATGTGAGACTTGATCCTCGCACTTTTGGACTGAGTTTCTATAATAGCATAATGAACATGTACACGATTGCAAATGGAAAGCATGAATTCAGGAAAAAAGGATTGCTTCTTTGCTTCTTCACGACAAAAACCAAAAGCATCAATCAAGAAAATCTAAGAACTGACAAAATCTGCAAATTTATGGACACAGAGAGCTAAAAGTATTGTCGTTTGGTGACTAATGTGAAGGAATCTTGAGATTGAGGGACTTATTGATCCACGCCTTCCAGCTCCCACTCCCCTTCTGGCCGATTGCCGCCGGCGGGCTACCCTTGCTCGCCTCCTCCGCCTTCTGCTTCTTCCACAGGAGAAAATTCCGAGCCCCCTGCGACCCGATTGTCTCCCATGGACTCAGAGCTGCATCAAAGATCAACAAGTAACAATCATAAGGGGTCTTCTACAGAACTTCTCCTTATTCTTTAAGCTTTGTCTACTCTTGTAGAATTTTTTCTTTTTAGTTTCTAAAGTATAGTATCGATTATTAAAACTGTAAATATTTAACCTTAAATTCATCGAATTTGTATAACAAAACTTAACTTCATCAACCGAAAGCACGTTCAAATAAAACAAGAAGAAAGGACAGCGAACCTTGAAAACTGAGATAGGGGTGAAAAAGCTAATATGCGTTTTACCATCTGATTCGGCGTTGGCGCAGTAGAGCAAGAAGTCGCCGGGGTCAGACCCGAGAACCGGGAGGCGACCCTGGCGAGCGTAGGATCGCAGGGCCGTGTCGATGACCGAGCCCACCAGCTCGTCCTCGCTCACCACGAACCGGATCGGCCCGGGGCTCCCCATCACGTTGATGCTGATCAGCAACCTGCTCACGTTACCCTTCCCGCTCTGGCTCTTCCTCTGCTGCTTGCCGTTATGAGCCAGCATTCTCTCTCTCTCGATCTCGATCTCGACCAAAACAAAGAAAGAAACGTTTCTCTTGCCTCCGGAAGCCTAAACGGATCTACTATGCTAGAATTCAGGGGTCGAGGCCAAGGCAACGATAGTACCAGCCTAGTTTGCAGGAGCCAAAACCGAAAGCGAGCGAGCTCGCCCTCCGGTGGAGATCGCGGTGGGAGAGCATCAAACCCCGGTCTTCAACGTCGTTCAGGATTCCCAACATTCACAAGACCTCCTTGATCTCGCCGTCGATTTAGAAAGAAAGAGAGAGAGAGAGAGAGAGAGCCAATGATACCGGTGAGAGATTGAAAGAGAAGGAAGGAGTAAAGAAGGCAGATTGCGAATCTTCAGGTTTTGGTGAATGACCGGTTCTCTTATGGGGCGATGGTATTTAAGGAGAGGGTCACACCCATATCAAAATTTTTGCAATGTCCTGTGATTTTGCTGTGGTTGGTCGCTCACTTAGCAAAATTTAAGCACAGTTAGAGATCAAGCTTATTGGTTAATACCATAAAAAACCCCAAATCGGTACACTTATAACAAATTTACCCGAAGCTAATTTTTTGATCACGAAAAACTCCAAACTGGTATATTCTTGACAAATTTACCAAAAACTAATTTTTTAACCAACAAAAACCTAAATTAGTACATTTGCGACAAAGTTACCTTCCATTAAATTGAAATAATATCATAAAAAATCAAAAACTAGTATACATGTGACAAACAGAGGTAAAACTCTAAACTGATATACCCATCAACTGCCACGTGTCATCCAACTCAGAAATTTGATGGTAAAATTTAAAGAAAACTAACAGATGGTAAAATTATCATAGGTGTACCAGTTTGGGATTTTAGTTTGGGGTAAATTTGTCACAGATGTATTAATTTGGGGTTTTTTGTGGTATTAACCCAAGCTTATTTACAAGAAAATTGTTCAAAAAATATTAAATCTATTCTACGGTGACTAATTCAGTTGTAAACTTTTCAATATTATTAATTCAGTTCTAAATCTTTTGACATTTGCCAATGTAGTTATTCCGGCTTTTTGGACAATTATGCTCCTCGTTTCTAAGCAAAAGTCAATTACGAGAAATTAGACAATTTTAAACATCCAATATGTCTGCTGAGGTAGCATCTTCTCGAGAGGCCACGCCAATGTCGAGTGATTTTGGGCATTTCTTACCTAAAAAATTAGCTCAAAGATTGAGACTTTCTCTTACACTTATTAACTGATCACTAGCTCCAGCCCATTTCACAATCGATGTAGGATAAACCCCAACAATGCCAATGTGGTCTATTAACGGTCATTTAGTGGTGTTAGTGTTCAAGTAGACATTTTTCGGTCCGCGATTTTAACAAGGGCCTCAAATTGATCCACATTTAGAAATTGAGATACTTGATTGAAAAAAATAAGATTAGGGCTCAATTGTAAAACGAGCAAAAGTATAGGTAATTCCGACATCAATACATCTTTAGGGGGAGAGGGGGGGAGGGGTTAAAGATATTTGACGAATGTTGTCTCTATATAAGGAGAAATCATTTTTATGCACGACTTACAAGGTAGATATAGTGTGATGGATCAATCATCGCACACCATACATGCCACTCAATTTAGAAATCTAATAAGTGTGTCAAAAGTATTTTTTTTTTATACAAGCAGCCTCGAGACAAAAACAGTCCTTCGTCAACGGAACGAACGTAATTGCCAAAAAATTACACATTCACCGGTATCTTCCTTCTTTGATTGCATCAAATTAAAAATTAATCGAAGCTACTTTGTCCTTTTCATGCATGAGAAATTTGAGCTAATTAATTTTCGTGGGAATATGGTCAAATTCACAAAACGTTATTAATTGCTTATGGAAAAAGATCGTTTGGTGAATGGGTACCGATTATACCATTGATGCGTGGAGTAATCAAAGTTAGCTTATTGTATCGGGATATTACAAAAATTCCAATTGCAATGACCATCGAGAATCTCTTTGTGCGGGGATATTGTGATTGACTCGTTGCCCCACGCTGATCATCCGATCGATGCATGAGATGCCCTTTTCGCACTCGAAAGGTTAGGCATTGTTAGTGAAATTAATAAGTGTCATGTTTTCCCTCAAGATAAGGTTTTGACCTGCGTAGCTAAAGTTGGAGGACCCAAATGCAATCGTCTCCGAGTCGATATCGAGCTATTAAATGAAGGTGTTGAATAGATCGTAAAATTGTTAGGAGCTAAGGCATGGGGTGTGTTGGAGACCTATGGGAACAAGAACAAAGAAAGTTCCCTTTGACCAAATTAAGATCAGTTTTGAACCTAACATATATCGTCGAAGTCGGCACAGACATATGATAATCTTCGAAATTCTTTTTTTTTTCTTGGTGATTAATATTCTATATTTGGCATTGGTAATGATTTGTACGACGATCACATGATTTGTGGAAGCCAGCGCAAACATATGATAATCTTCAAAATTCTTTTTTTTTCTTGGTGACCAATTTCTAAATTTTGCATTGGTAATGATTTGCACAAGGCTCACATGATGTGTGAAAATCAGCACAAATAAACGATAATCTTCAAATTTCTCTTTTTTTTTTCTTGGTGATTCGTATTCTAAATTTGGCATTGGTAACAATTTGCACGAGGCTCACATGGTTTTAAGATGCTTGTTCAATTCGTTTTCACACACTTTCAACATGGTTGCTGCAAAGTCAATCGCAAGGCCTTGACCATTTACTTCCAAGCGCCGTCTATGTTGGCCTCTCGCCGTCCTGACAAATCCGACCTAACTTAGCACTCAAATGAAGTCATTTTAACATTTGATTTCCGCTTTGTTTTTCTTAATCAAATTTTTTAAAAAATGCGGTGCATCCAAAAGAGGGAAGCATATTCCAAAAGGGGCGACGAAAATTCGATTTCTTTAAGTCGGCGGAGAGAAATCGACGCGAGAGGCTGGTAAGTCTTGGTCTTTCCAGGGCGACATTAGTAGCACCATTCAATACGAATCAAAAGCTTTATGTTGCGTTTTTACTTTTTTGTATCTTAGTTTTTAAGCTATGATTGTTCTTCCACACGCCTCCATTATTGAGATGCCCTCGACTTACAACGATTCCCCGAGGACCCAACGCCGGCCATTGTTTTTGCAGACAAAAGCATCGACCGTTCATTGAATTCCTTCTTTTGACTTTTGCTAGGGAGGAGGAAGATGGTTTCATATTGGAGAATATGAGGGTGTTGGTGAACTGGATCCAACATGGGTAGCTAGCTGCCGAACCACGATCCAAGGTATCCGCATTAGATCCCTGAATCGCCATTGGTACCCTAGAAGCCAAACCCTGGTCTCTACGATCCTTATGTTAATCATCGACATCCAATGATTCCCAACTGAGTCTGTTGCGCAGCTATATCAGGTTAAACATTGTAATAGCTAAGGTACTCGAGTCCTGAAGAGTTTAGTATTGTAAACTTTTTTGTCACAAACTAGTTATCTATTTAAGTGGTCACATTTTGATATAGAGTTCATACGTGAAAAGATGCGGTTGCATAATTAAATTCAAATACGCATGTCTTCCATCTAAGGACAAACGTGTAAATTATATTTTTACACCGGACATGGGGGTAATAATAAAAATGATTCGAAATCATTTTCTCGCATGAAAACAATTCCATTCGAACAAACGAAACGGAGCCAATCTAACTATATGTTGTCAAAGGGAACTATTAAGAAAAGCTTAGACTAATTGGTTTAAAACCTTGAATTGGGCTTTGAGGGAATGCGTGTGCCATATGTGGCCTGTGGATCAACAGGCTCTCTTGTCTTGATTGGGCTAAAGATCAATTGAAAATCCATCAAATGAGTGCGGGCCCTCATTTCAAATCCAGTCATCGGCTCAACAATTAATTACGTGAATCCCACCATGAGACTCACATGATCAATGGTTGAGATGGATTTGATCCATATGATTTATAGACCATCCAATATTTTTCGTGTTTCACAAATTTTATGTGCCTGAAAACTATGCCTTGACACTCCACGCGCGCATACACAGTCTCTCAACTCATGCCATCGCCAAAGACTTCCACAGGTGCTTGCTAGCTGCGTCCACCACCACAAACCGCCGTTGTCTCTGTCACTATGTTCTCTCTCTCTCTCCGACTCGTGTTAAGTTTTGCATAGTAACCTTTACCCTTGTATTTATTTAGGAAACTGTTCAATCTAGTGCGTGCATTAGCAAGGTAGTTCGTGAAATCTAATTCCAGTTGGAGTGATTAATGGCTCTGAGACAAATGCCAATGCATCTCCAGCAAGTTCCAGTGAATGTGATTCCCATGAGTTTGCTTTGAGATCTATCTATAGCTCTCTAGTAGCATATGTTTCTTGTAGGTCAATGACTATAGTAGTGAAGGTAGGAGATACCAGTGGAAGTGATTGATGATTCTGCCAATGCATCTGATGTAACTTCACTATAGTTTGCTTTGACACACGCTTAGCTCTCTAGTAACCATTTTTCTTTTTGCAGACCAATGTCTACATTGGAGCTACGGGAAGTCATAGGGAGATTCCAGTCGAGATAATTAATGACTATGCCAATGCATCTGCTCTATGTTCAGCATAAATTTTCAGCATAAATTTGCTGTGATACACATGTAGTTCACTATCAACCTAAGCTATTTGCAGGTCACTGTGGCTCCATCGTCTCCACGTACATCAATGATCTTTTCGATCAAGAATCATATAAGTTTTTGATTCACAATGTAAAATTCGTAATAATGTGGATAGCTCGATCATAAATTTTTTTTTTATAGTTTATGCAGCTGTAGCTGGGTGTTGCCTAATAGCAACACGCCAAACTATACCTGTGAAAGAGGCAGGCTTTCCATCAATGAGCCTTTTGTACCGAGGCGCGTATGTATCAGTGTATCACAAGATCTTTCCAGGTGATTCGCGGGACCATGATGGGTTCCTACCTCCAGCTAGCTTCCCCTGCCAAATGGTACGGGTGTAAGTTCACGAGCTTGCACGTTTTTCACATGATTGAAATCGCCAAGCTTTCTTATGATTTTGTTCTAAGAAGAGCACCGTCCGCCATTTTTAATTTCAATTTCTACTCAAGATAGAAAAAGCAGAGAAAAAGACAAGGTCAATAAGAAGCCACAGATTGGTGTCCTCTGTAACGTGTGATCTCTCTCTCCATCATATCGCTGTTGCTGTGTGTTTGGTGTCTGCAAGAAGAACAAGAAGAAGAGAATGGAGAACATAACAGGGCTTTTGAAAATTCAGGTGAAGCGAGGCATCGACCTCGCTGTCCGCGACATTCTTAGCAGCGATCCTTACGTTGTCGTCTCCATGGCTCATCAGGTCGCACCTCTCTCACTCTCTTTCTCTCTCTCTTGATCTCTCGATCTCGATGAGGGCTAGCGGCGGCGATTGCGAAGATCCTCAAATCGAGGGTCGTTGCAATTTTGAATTTCAGACACGAGAGATCTGAAAATCCTTAGATTTAGCGAAAAAGTTTGTTCTAGCGTTCATTGACCTCAGATCGCGAGGTCATGAGGTTGAATTACCTTCGATCGGCCACTGAGTATGTATATAGCCACTTGATAAGAGTGTTTGACTTTGAATACGTCTTTGGTTCTTTCCGGCTGGCATTGAGTTTCTCATTTAGGGTTCGGGATTATGATAAAGTTTTCCTCATTGACCTAACTCAAACGTTATTAAGCCAATGGTTTCGATCTGGCAAGGCGACCCACCTCGCCCAGATTTGGCGAGGCCGTTCCTCGACTATTGCCGGCAAGGGCGGCCCTCGCTAGATCAGGCGAGGGCGACCCTTGGCCAGCCCTCGCCGAGCTTCGCCGGTGGTCGGCCGGACGGCCACCGGGGAAGAAGGGAAAACCAGAAAAAAGGAAAAAAATTCAAAAAAGTTAAAAGATGAAAATGCCCTTACCATAAGAAAAGTCAGGCCCTTCTTTGAATCAGATATAGTCACTTCATGTCCTTATTTGACACAAAATCTACTTTAGGCCCTTATTTGAGACTAATATGCAACTTCAGGTCCTTATTTGATACAAAGTCCACTTCAGGCCCTTATTTAAGAAAATAAGGGCATTTCAAACCTTTATTTGGAATTTTCCCTTTATAATATGACTATATGGTATGTACCATCTTGCTCACGGCACCTGAATGGTATAAATATGGGTGCAGAAATGGAAGACTCGGGTGGTGAAAAACAGCTGCAACCCAGAATGGAAAGATGAGCAGACTCTTTCCATTACAGACCCCAACATTCCAATCAATCTAGTAAGTGTTTCTTCGATCAAATTCATCATTCGTTCTTACTCGCTCGTGTCTATTCTGTGAACAACCATGTTAGGTCGTTTCAATTTGTGTTTCTAGATTGTCCAATTATTTCGTGTTCGACGTGCTAGAGATGATTCGAACCTTCTGTTGGAGAGTTTCCTTCATATTCTCATTCTGTATGTTTGCACTTTGTTTAAACTGGTTGCTTCGGAAACAATTTTTCCGGAGGATCGCCTGTTGATTTGTGTAGTTAGAACCTTATGAACTTGTGAACTCCATTCGGAAATATTGCCGAAAGCGAAGCACATCTATCCTAACTTCACAATACTCTGAAAATAATATTCATCGCTGTGCTTCTTTTTAGGGATTAAAGCACTTTTTATGTCCCATAATAAGCATACACTAGAGAAAGTAATAGTCCTATTGCATGATTTTTCGCAGGCTGTTTACGACAAGGACATGTTCACCGCGGACGACAAAATGGGAGAGGCCAAGATCGACATCAAGCCTTACATGGATGTTATAGAGAGGCGGCTGGAGAACCTCCCGACCCCCACCACGATTGCCAGGATCCAGCCTTCCAGGGACAATTGCCTGGCGGATGAGAGCTCGATCGTGTGGAGAGACGGCAAGATCTACCAGGACATGGTGCTTGGGTTGCGTAACGTCGAGTGCGGCAAGGTGGAGGTCCAGCTGGAGTGGATCCACGTCCTCGACAGCTCTCGGCGCCTGTGAGTCGGGTCACCTTGTGCCAAACCTCAAATCTTCAACGGTTACCTCTGGATCAGTCTCTAAATTCGAGTCGTTCTGCTTTATAAATATTTTCTCGTTAGTACGTGCTGAATTTATGAAAAACGCAATCTTATAAATATTTTCCCGCCTAACTAGTAATCTATTGAAAGACTATTAGCTTCCGTGACATATTCGGTTGCATTATTAATTTCAAATACCCACGTCACGACGACGAACCATGAAGCTAATAATAATTTGAAATCATTTTCTCACTTGAAAAGGAATTTCATTTTTTTTTTGTCTTACTCTTCTCTTTTATGTAAATGTGTATACGATGTTCACGGTGATTGAATCTCGGACTTGGTACTCTCCGGCCCCACCCCCACCCCCAAATCTCTTTACTAGCAGGGCCACATGCCTGATTGACTTAGTCACAAGTATTATCAGGTAAATAATCGAAAAAGCTTAGTCACAAGTATTTCTCTTGATTGGGCTTCTGAGTGCTGCGTGTGCACGTATACGGCCTGCGGATGTGGTAAGGGAAGCCGCTCAACAGGCTCTCTTGTCTTGATTACATTGATAGATGGGTACTCCTCGTTTCCGGAATCATCCACGCTGTTCGTGACCAAATGGGACCCGATGAACCCGTGTTGCACGAGAAGTAATTGGATGATTTATAAATCATGAAAATCAATATCATCTCATCAATTCAATTATGTGGATCTCTCACTGCAAGACTCACATGATCAATGGTTGAGATGAATTTGATTTACATGATTTATAGACCACATCGTATATTTTCGTGCTTCACAAGCTTTTAATGCTTGAAAAACTTATAAGATTGACACTATACTTAACACACACACACACACTCTCTCTCTCTCTCTCTCCAGCCATGCTACTATCGAAGAGCTCCATATCTGTCGTGCTAGCTTTGTCCACCACCACCACAAACAACCGTTGTCTTTGTCATTATCGTTGTCGTCACTCTCTCTCTATGAGAGACTCGCGGTGGCAACTGCGAAAATCCTATCGAGGCCTGTTATGAATTTGAACCCGAGACACATGGGATCTGGAAAATCTTAGATTTAGCAAAAAAGTTTGCTCGAGTGTCTAGCGACCATTAGTGTTACGAATTAGCAATTATTGGATGTACTAATATTTGTTATAACTTTTTCTATTAAATATTTCCTCGAAAGGTTTTTATTATTATCTATAATATTGTTAATTACATATAATTTTTTTTATCATCGTATAACAACGATAGTAAGAAATTTTCTAATTGCTATTAAATCTCTACACAATAGTAGACAATATAAACCGAGAATTTTTCTTCTATTTTTTCAAAAGAGAAAGATTTATATGATATAGGGATATAATTTAACATATGATTTATGCTATGCCAAAATACACATTCTATTTTACACAATCGAAAAAATTTGAGAAAATTGTCAAAAAAGTCCTAAACCTATTGTACGGCGGCCAATTCAGTCCTAAACCTTTTAAGTTTGTCAATTCAGTCCTAAACCTTTTTAATTCTTGCCAATTCAGTCCTTCCGGCCAATTTTGGCCGGCCGGCGCTGACGTGGCCGCCGGCCGACAATAGGTTTAGGACTTTTTTGACAATTTTCCCGAAAAAATTCACATCTGTGCAGCATAAAGCAGCCACTAGTCACTTTACCAAAAAAAAAAAAAAGCAGCCACTAGTCTAAAAAGAATACGAGGACTGAAAAAGGATAAAAAAAAAGAAATACATAATGATTGTGGTTATTGCGATTTACATGAAAAGTAATTCGAAAAAGAAATGTATTCTTTTGGATAATGTGGATGAAGACGGTTCCCTTGACACATAGTTCACATGGTGAAAACCCCTACACTTCACAAGCATTATCAATGTATGTCCACGACTCCACACCACACACAGATTGTCCCAATGTAAAATTTCTACCGATGTGGATGGCTCAAACATAACGACTGGTGTCAACTGTGGCAAAGATGCCAAGATATACTTGTGGAAAAAAACAGTAAAAGCAAAGGAACATGTCCAGATTATCCACCTTTTTCCTAACAAAGCGAGACACATTCTATTCATTGCGTAGCACTAAGATTCCCTTTGTGGGTGTGTGAGTGGTGCGTCCACCGACCCACAAAACGATAAAACGAGAAAAGAAGACAGAGGAGGAAGCATATTTCTGTCAATGACCCTTTTGTACCGACGAGCACGTCTCCACCACAAAAATTGTTCCTGGTGATTCGCGTGCGGGTTCACGACCTTGCACGTGTCTCGCCATGATTTTTTCCCAAGGAGAGCCCTGTCCACTATTATTAATCTTAATGTCCACCTCCATTCTATAGCAGGGAAAAACAAGAAAAGGAGGAGAAAAAGAGGAGACGGAGAATCAGGATAGATAAGAAGCCATCATCTCTCTCTCCCTCGCCCTCTATTGTTGGTGTGTGTTGGGTTAGGTGTCTGCAAGAAGAAGGACGAGGAGAAGAAGAAGAGGAGAATGGAGAACATAATGGGGCTTCTGAAAATCCGGGTGAAGCGAGGCATCAACCTCGTCGTCCGCGACACCCTTAGCAGCGATCCTTACGTTGTCGTCTCCATGGCTTATCAGGTCACCCTCTCTCTCTCTCTGTCCATTGTAATTCTTTGATTAGTGCTGTTCGTACCCGATTATGATTAGACAAATTTGTGGGTGCCATCATCGATTGAATCTCTCTACAGCCCTTTTCTTGACCTAAGAGAAAGTGGATCTTTCCTAATTCCTATGCTTGGAAGATTTTTTTCTTTTCTTGTGGGATGATTAAAGCCCTTGTGTTTGCGCAAATTTTCGTCGTCTTGATGAGAATGGATTTCATCTTGTTATCGAGGAAAAAAATTCAGATCCCTCCATGATGAAGATCATGCTGTAATATGAGGGACATCATTTGCCTGGTTGTACAAATTGGCTTAAACAGATCATGTTGACCTGTTGGATTCTATAAGTGGTGCCTTACTGATCAATCCGATTTTTTTTTCCTTTTAAATTCATTGTTTAAAAGGGAAATGCGGGTTTTATTTTGAAAGTTCGAGTATGTAAATAAATATGACTTTGAATTTGTCTTTGTATCTTTGTAATTGGCATTAAGTTCCTTACTTAGGCTTCAGGATTAGGATCAAGTTCTTGCTCATTCACCTAACTCAAACATTATCTAGCCGATGGTTTCATCATTTTGTGTGGTATATGACTATATAGTACAGACCATTTTGCTGACGTCACCTGGAATTTATATATGTGATTGCAGAAATTGAAGACTCGGGTGGTGAAAAACAATTGCAACCCTGAATGGAACGATGACTTGACTCTTTCCATAACAGACCCCAACATTCCAATCAACCTAGTCAGTGTTGCTTCCTTCACGTTCATCATGCTTAATGTGTCGATTTTGCGAATAACCATGTTAAGTCGTTTCAATTCTTGTTTTTAGATTGTTCAATTAATTTTAGCGTGCGACATGCTTAGAAATGAGTTAAGGACACGCCACTTGGAGACCCTCCTGAAATGAACCCGAATCGGATGATGCCCAGAAACATTTGAGATGACTCAATATTCTGTTCTAGAGTTTCCATTCATTCATATTCTGTTTGTGTCCGCTTAGTTTAAAATGATCACTCTGGAACGATACTTCAGGAGGATCGCCTATTGAATTGCTCTTGAACCGAGTTTTCAAATGTCAAATATAACATGCATCACTTTTAGGGATTGAAGAAGTTTGAAGTCACACTGTAAGCATTGACCGGGGTAGTGATAGTCCTATCGAACTATACTCTTTCGCAGACTGTTTATGACAAGGACACATTCACCGTGGACGACAAAATGGGAGAGGCCAAGATCGACATCAAGCCGTACATAGATGCTATAGAGATGCGCCTGGAGAACCTCCCGACCCCCACCACAGTTGCTAGAGTCCAGCCTTCGAAGGGCAACTGCCTGGTGGACGAGAGCTCGATTGTGTGGAAAGACGGCAAGATCTACCAGGACATGGTGCTCCGGTTGAGTAATGTCGAGTCTGGTGAGGTGGAGATCCAGCTGGAGTGGATTGACCTCGCCAGCGGCTCTCAACGCCTGTGAGTTTCTCGAGGGATCTCTGGTGAAGACGGCGCGTGTTGTGATCGTCTCTGGATTGCATTGGAATATGAATACATTGACTGAGTTTAGTAGATGAACTAATGGATTGAGCGATCCTCTCGTTGTGTGATAGTTTCGGTGGATTGAATAAGTTTTTGCTTGCATATTTTCAGATATGATGAATTGAGACATGGATCCTTCACCCCTTAATTGGCGAGGGACAAAACCGATAGATCATGCGGAAGAAAAGCGTGCATTATGCCAAAAGAAGAAAAGAAATTCTATGGTGCACGAGAAAAATATTGTATGGAGCTTACTCAATCACCTAACTTAATGCCTTGGCTGATAACATATTCAAATTGCTGCTACTAACATCCAATAACTATGTGAAATGTAGGTCAAAATAATGATCTGAGCTAAGCCCATTACGAGGGTTCTTTCGAGCCTTATCTTGGACTTAGCTACATTTGAGGCAAGTTTTGCTAAGCTTGAGCTCAACTTGGGTCTGAGTTCAGCGTCCGTTAAGTACGTGTTGGCCTTTCGATAAAAAAAAAGGTACGTGTTGGCCTGGTTAGCATCTTTGTAGGGCCCAACTAACATAAATAATAATAATAATAAAAATAAAAGCAAATAAAAAAGCAGTCAAAGTCAAAGGAAAAGAAAATGAAGAGACTGAACTCTCTTGCATGTTAGAGAGAGAGAGAGAGAGAGAGAGAGAGAGAGAGAGAGAGAGAGAGTTCACCAAGAAGAACCTGCGGAAGAGAAGGGAAATAGGGCTGCAGCTTCCGGCGAAAATTTGATGGCCAAACGTTATTGAAATTGGCTCAAATTTTAGTATATTGTTTGTGCAACCAAAGTCTACAAATTAATCGGCTTCAGTTGTTGAAATCCTTCTCCAAGTTATCTCTCGTAATCTCCAACCATGGTTAGATTTTCTTGCTCCGTTTGTGTTAATTCGCCTTCGTGGCGATGAAATACCATTATATTGTTGATGTTGAGTCTTTAGTGTATGACTAGAGAAGAACCTTTGTGTATCCTACTATTCTTGGTGATTAGCGAAAGTTTTTTATTGGGTTTTCCACATAAAAATCTTGGTGTAGTTATTGTCGTGTAACTTTGATATTTTAGCATTATATTTACTTATTTTGAGTTTGTATTGTTGGAATATACAGTTGGTTGTTGCTGAGGTTAAGTCGATTTTGGTCAGTTTAGTTTTGGGGAAGAAATTAATCTTGGATTAGGTTAGTTCTTGATGAGTTATTGTTTGGTTCTCACCAACAAAGTGGTGTTAGAGCCGACGTGAGTAGCTGAATTGAATGGAGGATAGCAGCACAATGTTTAAGTTAAATGCCTTGAATTACTCTATTTAGAAGCCTCGAATAGAATACATATTATACTATAAAGATTCATATGATCCCGTCGATACCGATGAGGCTAAAGGAAACAATGAAGACAAAGAATAGGTGTGAATGAATCGAAAAACTGTTGGGTGTATTTGACAATGGATTGATGATAGCGTTTTTCATCATGTTGCTCAAGGAACAAATGCTGAAACTTTGTAGAAGAAATTACAAGATCTCTACCAGAGGAGAACCCCACAAAATAAGTACTTTTAGTTAAAAGACTTGTAAATTCGAGATACAATAAATGGAGTAGCATGTCAGAACATTTGAGTGAATTTCAAGGTGCTATAAATCAGTTGACAAATCTGGAAATTAATCTTGGAGATGAGTTATGGACTTGTCATTGCTTGGTACTCTTCTTTACAGTTAGGACACCTTGGTTGTGGCATTAAACAATTTGGCTCCTTATGGTATGCTTTCTATGAGCATGGTTAAAGGAAGCTTGTTCAATGAAGAAACAAGGAGAAAATGCATGAATTATGCTTCTCATTCGGAGGTTCTCATCACGAAAAATAGGGGGATAAATCAATCGAAAAATTTTCAGAATTGTGATAAAGAGGCAAGTCTAGAGGAAGGTCGAGGAGGAATGTGAAGTGTTACAATTGTGGCAAGGTGGGACATTATGCTAGAGAATGCAGGTTGCCAAAGAGAGATAAATTCCATTATAGAAATGGAGATTGAAAGAAAGAAGAGAAACAGGTTACAGAGACAGTTGCAGCCAATGTCGATATTGTATTCATTTGTGATGATGTCTGTGTAAACCTTATATGCTAAGACTTTAGTTGCGTTGTTGATTTTTCAGCCTCATTTCATGTCATCTCACGGCGTGACTACTTCACATCCTATTGCAGCGGTGGTTTTGGTTGTGTCAGGATGGGAAACACTAGTGTTTCCAAGGTTATCGGCATGAGAGATGTTTATTTGAAGACCGATGTTGATGTAATATGCTTCTGAAAAAATATGAGACATGTTCCGGACATTCGACTTCACTTGATCTCCACAAGTAACTTTGATGATTTGGTTACTGCAATTTCTTCTATAATGGCAAATGGAAATTGACTAAAGGTTCAATGGTAGTGGCTAAGGGCAAAAATACATGCACTCTCTACACCATGCAAGCTAAGTTGATTAGAGAAGAGGTAAATGCAGTGGATGACTCCTCATTTGACCTAGGACATATGAGACTTGGTCATCTCAGCGAGAAGAGGCTTGGAACTTTTGCTAGAGAGAATTTTCTCTCATTAAAGGAAAGAAATCTGAAGGAATGTACTCATTGCCTAACATGTAAGCAACATAGACTCTCATTTCATAATTCTTCTCCATACACAAAATTAGATATACTTTTTAGTTCACATTAATGTTTGTTGTATTGATGCTAGAACACTTGGTGGTGCATTATACTTTGTGACATTTATTAATGATTGCTCTAGAAAAGTGTGGGCTATTGTTTTGAAATCCAAAGACTAGGTGCTTGTAACTTTCAAACAATTTCATATCAACATGAAAAGAGAAAGCGGGAAGAAGTTGAATATGTTCGGGTTGATAACGGCGGTGAATATAGAGGCCCGTTTGAATATTATTGTAAAGATTATGGTATCAAGTTTGAGAAGACTGTTTTGAAAACTCCACAACATAATGGAGTAGCTAAGAGAATAAACCGTACAATTAATGATCGTATTCGGTGTATGCTCTCTCAAGCGAGGTTGCTTAAGTCATTTAGGGGTGAAGCGATGAGAACAATAGTGGACTTGATAAACCTTTCCCCATGAATTCCTCTTCATGGAAATGTTCCGCAAAGAGTTTGGAGTGGGAAAGATGTTTCATACAATTATATGGAAGTGTTCGTTTGCTGGGCATTTGTACATGTTCCAAGAGATGAAAAGTCCAAGCTTAATGACAAGTCTAACCAGTGTATCTTCTTGGGCTATGGACATGAAGAGTTTGGTTATAGGTTATGGGATCCGGCAGCAAAGAAAGTCATTAGAAGTCAAGATGTGGCGTTTTTTTAGCATCAAACTGTTGAAGATATAGACAAGCCAGGGAGGACAAAGAATGTTGGTTAACACTTTATTAGTTTCATCCCAAATCCTCCTGTCGTATTGGTTGGAAATCACGGGGAAGAAGTGCATGGAAATCATGAAGATGGTGAGTCCTCATAAAATGTTGATTTTTTAGCTGAGATAGGTGAAATAATTGAGCCAGAACAATCAATTGAGTAAGAGCAACCAGCTGAGCTAGAGGAGCCAGTTAAGCAAGAACAACTAGTCCTTCCTCAAATGAGAAGATTTGCAAGAGAATGTAACCTTCACAAAGATATCAATCGCACGAGTATCTGTTACTCACTAATGCAGGAGAGCTAGAAACTTATGAAGATGCTATGTCATGTGATTAAAAGAATGAGTGGGAGCTCAAATCTTTGCATGAAAACAACACATTTGAATTGGTGAAGTTGCCTAAGGGCAAGAGAACACAAAAAGATAAGTGGTTGTACAAGTTAAAGATGGAACAAAGTAGTTTGCAACTACGATACAAGACTAGGCTTGTTGTAAAGGGTTTTCGTCGGAAGAAAGGAATTAATTTTGAAAAGATCTTTTCATTAATTGTAAAAATACCTTCTATTTGAATTGTTCTTGGGTGGACAGCCAGTTCGAATTTAGAAATCGAAAAGCTTGACGTAAATACATCTTTTTTTCATGAAGACTTAGAAGAAGAAATATATATGGAGCAACTAGAAGATTTTAAAGCTGAGGCAATGAGCATCTTGTATGCAGGTTGAGGAAAAACTTAAATGGTCTGAAGTAAGCACCAATACAAAGGTACACGAAGTTTGAATTATTCATGGAAAATCATGGATATGGTGAGACCAACTCTGATCTTGTATCTTTATGGATAGATTCTCAAATAATGATTTTATTATCCTCCTACTCTATGTGGATGGCCAGTTGATAGTTAGGCATGATGCTAAGAAAATTAAGAGTTTAAAAAATGAGTTATGTAAAGCTTTTGCAATAAAGGGTTTAGAATTGGCTAAGCAAATCCTTGGCATGAGAATTTCTCGTGACAAGAAAAACATTTAACTTTGACTATCTCAGGAGAAGTACATTAGAAGTGTGCTGGAAAGATTCAACATGAGCACATGTAAACCGGTAATTACTCCACTTGTTGGCCATTTCAAGTTAAGTAGTAAAGAGTCTTACAAGTGAGAAAGAGAAGGAAGAAATGATAAAAATTCATTATGCATCGGCTGTGGGTAGTTTGATGTATACCATGGTTTGTACAAGACCAGATATTACTCATGCAATTGGTGTCATGAGTGGGTTTTCTCAAATCTAGGCAAAGAGCATTAGACCGTTGTTAAATGGATTTTGAGGTATCTCAAAGGTACTTCCAAATTATGCTTATATTATGGAAATGGAAAGCTTGAGTTGTGTGGCTATTCAGATGTAGGCTATGCTGGTGTCATTGACTCTCGATAGTTCATGTAAGGTTAAATGATGACTTTTGTAGGGGGAGCGGTTTCGTAGCAATCAAGATTGCAAAATGTGTTGCTTTATCGACGACTGAAGCATAGTACATTGCTATTACCGAAGGAGGTAAGGAACTCTTACGGATACAGAAATTTCTACAATAGTTGGGCTTGAAGCAAGGGAAGTTTGTTTTGTATTGTGATAGCATAAGTGCTATCTATCTTATCAAAAATCCAATTTTGCACTCGAGATCGAAACATATTGATGTGAAATATCACTGAATCAGAGAGAAATTAGAAGAGAAGC